TATTACTTCTAACTGTTGCATCCATGTTTTCCTTCGTGTTTTTTAGCCTTTTTGTTCTGAAGGACTCTCAGTTTTTCTTCATCCGATTCAATTGTTTTTTCTCCATTTCCAATTTATATATTCTTGCTTTTTTCTCAATATTTCTTTTTTTTATTTTGTAAGGCCCAGATCAATTTAAAAGAAGACATTTTTATCGATAATTTTTCACGAGCACAGTATTGTTTTTGTTTTAAGATTGTGCAAAATCAGAAAGGTTTCAGTTTTGTTACTTCAGTTTGATCCAGTATACCGACAACCTTTCTCATCGCATTAATGTGTTTATATCACCATAATCACCGACATAAATTTATCTCAGGTCAAACTCATTAATTATATGACTTTTGTTTGGCATATTTGCAATTGTCCGTAAGCGTGAGTGATTGGCGCCAACAGCAACATATAAAGCCCATGAAGACGACCATTTCGTCCATTATTATCGGCAATATATTGCCAGGAGATAACAGAAATGGCTTTATTAATTATTTATTCTGAACATTACTGTGCTAGTGACCGACAGACTTGAATAAATAATTTATAATTAATGTACGTTTTGTTTGCTATATGAATAATTTCAACTAGAAATTTGACAAGTATTGGTATTATTGAAAATACCGGGTGACATCCGTACTCGCTTATTTATCGAAGAAGAAAAAAATGGGCGTAGGACCAAACAAAAACTATATGGTTTGTTATGTACTGAGGGGAGGTAAACCCTCTATTATTGGTGATTTTAAGTAAAGCGCGTATTTGTGAAAAATTACATTTAATTTGTCGTCTTGTGTTCATGGTTAAAAAGATTGTTTTTGTGTCTACTAAAGACAATTTGGACGAGGTGCCTCTTTTATAAACTTTGAATCTACTGGCGAACGTTTCTCTCAGTATTATTGTCTTAGTCTTATCCGTCATTGTCGATTGGCTTTTATTTTATCACTTGGCATTTTTTAATATCATCAAAACTAGAGATAAGTACGAGAATCAACATACACTTAGTCATTGTATAAAGAACTATAGTAGGATAATCGCCATGTAAAAGTTATTGGAGGCAATCGCGCCCGCCATCTATTGGTACAATCATTGAACTAACAATTTTATTTACTGGTTAGATACGCCCTCTACGTCAGATGTTAGAACTTTATAATTTAAGTGTAAAGGTTAAAGAAAAAGTCCTTTATTTCTCACAAGTCACTTGTGAGAAATAAAGGACTTTTTCTTTAACCTTTACACTTAATCCCTACTACTCACATATGGCTACCCTCACTCCAAAACTTTATAAGTGACAATTCCGTAAAATTAATTGTTAGTATATATTTTTTTAATTATTTAGATTAAATATAAATAAAAATTAGTGATTCTTGTAAAGAATCAATAAATAATAGCATTCCACAAGATATTCGTCTATATTTAGAAATAAACTAAAAGCAGTCTGATTATCAGCGTTAAAAAGTAAAACTTTTTCATAAGCCTTCATAACGAAAATATAGAGTACTTGTCTACGAATCGAAGGGTTCCGAGTTTAAACCCCCGACTGGATACTTTTTTTTATTATTTAATTTTATTTTCTAAATTGGTAAAACTTAAATTAATTTCAAAACAATAATTTTACGTTAATAATCAAATTATAATAGAATATTATAAGGTCAGGTAATTTTATTTAAATCTTTTGACAATGAAACTAAAAATGTGTGTGTCTAAAGGAGAAATATACCGAAAATAACAAGTATTTAAATTTTGCTAATAAATTTGTATTAGGTATGTGTTAAAAGAAAATACATCATTTTGGATTTGAATATACAGTGTGTCGCAAAATGTCTGCACCAAGAAAACGCACAAAATTACATTTTTCTTTAATCTACGTAAAAAAGTGCGAATTAAAATTTTTTTACTAAAAATTTATGGTACCTAACAGGGTTATTCATTATAAATTACCCTCCCTTTATGCTATAATTATTATTGTATAATGTTTACATTGACCGAATTTTGTAAAAATGTCATCAAATGACCATATCAGTGGTGTGCATATTTCACAGGATTTAACATGAATATTTTTTAATAAGGATAGCATAGATATGATCCTTATTCTTTCCTGATTAATTAAACGTCGAATATCATAGATAATCTATGTCGAATATCTTATAAATATTTACACTTTTTCTTTCTCACTGTAAACTACCTATTTGGATTATTTTATTATCAAACATAATAGTTGTGATTTTCATAGCTTTTACTTTAATAATGTTAACTTTTTCATGTTTACATTAACAACGTTAAATTACTCGAGAACAGACGGTATAAGATAGGGTTATCAATAATATACATTTGTGAAATTAGAAAAAAAATATCCCAGAAATTTAATAACATAGAGGGTATCCCATTTAAAAAAGTTTATTTGTGTTGTATTCCGTGAAATCTGAATACGTGTTTTTATGGTATATTTAAAAAAAGTCAGTCATATTCACAAACTTTTATTTAAAGCTTTTTTTGAATATGCAATAGTGGTTATAAAAGGTGTCTTTAATAGTGAATAATCTTGTACATGATCTCAAATAAATTTGTTGAGATTAATTTCATTTGTAAAAATGTCACTTCCGCTTCTCCCGTATTGCTAAAAAAAATTGTGTCCTGGTCCAGGATTTGATGGTGGATAATATTAATCCTAGATACATTTTTCAAGTAACATTCTTCTCCTGTTTTTAGAAATAAAGGTTAATGTTTAGCCAAATTCATATTATTTTTTTGGACACACAGTATGTTTGTATAATATTAAAAACTTCCCCTAGTAAATATTTTGGCTCAATCAAAGTAGATATCTTAAATTGATTATTGTTAGAAAAAGTAGAAATAATATTAAATATAATAAGGAAATTAAAAAAATAATTTAATTTAATAATTTGATTTAAAAATTGAAATTTTGGTTTATATGTATAAAAAATTGTAGATTTTAACTGTTTTTTTTAAGTTCTAATTTGATTTTTTGGGGATGCCACACCCTCCATCTCCCTCTAGAAGATGGTGGTGGTAAGATATTTATACAAAAATGATGTTCCAAGTGAACTATAAAATATGACTTCTTATAAGAACTTTACATAATATAAAATAATTGAGAAACATTTTTTATAATACATGAAAATGTCTCAAAATTGAAACTCCTAAACATGAAATAATAGCTAATAAACAATTTTTAATTATATCATTTAAAATTAATTATCCATACCTATCTCAAATGTAACTAGGCTCGTAGTATTAAATAGTAAAATTGTGCAAAATATAGGATGTAGTACTGGAATAAGCATTGAAAAATAAAATTGAAAATTCAATAAGACACAAAGAAGAAGAAACAAGTAAGTCAACTCAATATGATGGAGTACCAACAAGTTCAACCACTTTTAAAAAAATGTTTTTCTACACCCGTATTATAATAATGCACTTATATGCCCATAATCCGTTTCATAATGATACCCATTATGATACAGATTTTTCATTACGATACAGATTTTTAATCAATAGAAACCTACAATTTTTCAATCAAGCATGCTGTTTGACGTTTGTCCTAGATTCCTATGTAATTATTTTAGTTGTCAAAACGTATTAAATTTTCGTAGGTAGCTAAACTTCGATAATTATAATATTAAAATGTCTGATATTAGCGATATAGAAGACTCCTCCACACATATCGGAGAAAGCAGAAAATACAGTACAAAATATTTTACCGCAAAAATCTAGGGAAATACCAATACCTGAAGTAATACCATTAATTACAATTTTGTAGAATTTTTTATAGAAATACGAGTAATTACTGTTATTGTGTTCAATACCAATATAAATATAATATTTATAGGTCTTGATTATTTATCGGGTGTAGAAAAAATAGCGTATGCAACTCTCATGTAATGGTTATTAAAACACTCGCATAAACCATACGAAACTCGCCTTTGGCTCGTTTCGTATCCCGGTTAATGCTCGTGTATTAATAACCATCATTACATGATCGTTGCATAATATACTATTATTTCATAACACATACCTAGCATTATGATAAATTAAACAAATTGTTCAACAATTTGTCTAACATACAAAAAATGCTACTATTTACTGCTTACATCAATCCTGCCAATTTTCAAGGCAACAATGTTTAGCCAGGATAATTAAAATTGGCAACACCTATTTAGAATATGAAACCAAACTATATCTAGCAAACTATAAGTTAAAAGAGAATTTTACATTAATTTCTGCATAATGGTTTCTGCATAATCTAGGTCCTTAGCTAAGTGTACAGACAAAAAATAAAAGTTTAATTTCTTGCATGTTGAATAAAGTTTCTAAATTCTGCCATTGTGTGTTGGTAATTGAGTTGCCCTTGTAATCGAAATTCATCTGCTAAGCGAATCTGCAAACTTGTTACTGGCTTCATCTAGATTTAACTGTTCTTTAGTTTTGGATAATTAGGATTTTCTTCTTCACTACAAGCACCAACAACAGCTGGTAATGAGCTTCCCAATGTATAACCTTGTCCTTATAAGTCTGACCTTCTCTTCCTTGAAGTTTCGGATGCTTCCATTTAATGATCTTCCATTTCTAAATGAACCATAATAGTTCCTGTCCCAATTCTAGAGGTATTTCCCCTTGACGAATTGATTCAAGAAATTCTCTATTCGATGGATCTGTATATGGCCTTAATTCTATCTCGTCAAGGCTAAATATATTTTGCCACAGCCTTAAAATAACCTCAGCTAGTCGAGGAGGAGCTAGAGCAGCAGGAATAACAACAGTATCAATTTGAGTTTGTAGCCAATTCCTCCAATTGCTTTTGAATTTGAAGAGGACGATGCATTTGGTTTAAGAATTTCAACTTCATGATCCTAAACAGATTTAAAAATGCCCATTGTTTTCAGAACCACTAAAACTTGTTATTGATTTAATTGTGGCAACATTGATGATTTAACTTTAGCTTGTAAGCTGTGACTATGTCATATACATTTAAAGTTTCAAGGTCAAATTATATTTCTCATTTCAATCTTTGGGATTTTCCAGGTTTCGCATCAGAGGTAATCTGTGTTATAATACTCATTAAGAATTTCATAAAAGGATGTATGTATAATAAAGTTATTTTTACTTGGTAAATTTATTATATAAAATTTGTTCTTACTTAGGCATCAAAAAATCCACTGGTTGGTGTATGTTGCAATATTTCAAGTTTACATATTCTAGAGGTCTCTAAAAATATTTTCTGTGAATATGAATTATTATGAATCTAATGACCTAGTTTAAGTAATCAAGTTTAATTAAGCCTTTATTCGTTTAGTTTTAATTAGCAATAATTACAGGAAACACATTGGCAACCAAACTAATTCTAGGTAACAGTATCTTGGAAATCCAACAATACATATTCAGCAGTTAAACGTGCTTAATAAGACAACATGAATAATGAATTTTAATTTCAAATATCTACCTACAGCTACCGACAAGTTAAAAAAACAAAACACGCATAGAAACTTTTCAAAATTCTAATTGAGTTTTATTTTCTATTTCACACGCAAAAATTATTTAAATGCAGAGCTTTAGTAAATACAGAATAAAACGTTTAGTGATACCTATTTAGCTCTCAACAATATTATAAAAATAAGTGTTCCGTGTTATTAAATAAGAAAAAACCAACATTTTGCGGTGTTTTATTAAAATATAATTTTAAAATTATAATTATATATTTAAAGCGACATAAATAATTAAATTGCACCCATATAAAACAAATTAAACCTTCATTGTTTATTAATAATATTTTAACACAGCAATCGCGTGTTTTCCATTATTTTAACACGGAAAGCTTTGTTAGGTACTCGTACGTTCCTACTGATGACTAAACAAGTAGCCGAAACGTGCGGTACTGAATTTAAGACCGAACGGTAGCACTAATTTTGCATGTCTGCTACCTAATTATATTTATCCATTAAAATAACAGTAACTTAACCTAGAACTTAACCTGCTTAATAACTAATTATGCAAAGCACTAAGAGAAAAAAACGTTAAAGAAAATCTTAAAACCAATAAAATATTTCTGAATTTAATAGGCGCCAGATTCTTTCTTATCAGTATTATCATGGTCATTTATTCAAAAAAAATTATATTACTATAAAAAAGCACTCATAAAAATCAAAAGGTATCTCTTTCAGGAATATCTATTTTTTATAATTAATATTTAACCATAATTGGTTAAATAGTACCTATGGGCAGCTATAAAATTAGTTTAGTTAACAGCAGTTTAATTTTTAACTGCTTATGGACTGTAAACTCAATTTAGCTAAGGAGTTTTATTTTTAACTGGTTGTATTCAAAGTACAAAAGTCATTTTTAAAACTATGTTTAACAGTAACCGATGATTATATAACGAGGTACACAGTTAAAACTAAGATTATATTTTAACCCTCTATTGTACAACTCGCCCCATATACAGTGTGGTCCAATGAAAAGAATCCACCTCTGTTTTCTTGGTTCCCTCAGATTTAAAGAAGAAATACTCGGACACGTGGATTTTTGTTTGGAGGGGACACATTTTCTTCCTAATTGCATCATTGACACTCCTAGAATTTAGACAGGGAAAGTACTAAGTGTGGCACATTTTTGAAAAGGTAATTTTATAAGAAATTCAGATATTACCGCCCTCTTGATTTAGAATGCCATCATATGGAACTGATCTTATAAAATTAACATTTTAGATCACTTGGTTTATTTGCCAATAAAAAGTATTTAAAAATATATTATTATATTTGACATGTGTGAAAAATTGTGAAAATGATTAAATTTACAATAAAAACTGAAAAATGGTAGGTAAAGTTTCATATAATATTTTTTACACAAAAATCTGTGTCTCAAGCTTTCTACATAACCTGATACATATTTAAAAATTATCTCCAAATATGAGCAAAAAGCTGACTATAACTAATAATGTTTATAAACGGTTTTCAATGTATTAAAAACAAAACAAATATTATTCTGTGTCTCTTTACTGAATAGCATTCTATTTCATTACCGTTCTCTTCGAATCAGGAGTTAACATATTGTATATTTAAGGCATATATAGTGAAGTTTAACACTGACAGGGCAGTTTTTAAAGACTACAATATTATTTATCGCCAACCGTCAATAAATCCATGCATTACCATAGCGATTTGCGGAAGTAAACAAACTTTATCACACTGTAAAAATCAAATATTTTATCTGTCGCTAATATTTATTAACATAGCCATAACCGTCTGCAACTGATTTGTTTTATATTTGCTGTTATTTTTCTGTTTGTTTACTTTGTCATAATAAAATGTGATGTTATAATATCTCCCTTTTTATTATTTTTAAATATTTACGGTTGGCGATAAAAGTTTGAATGGACCACGTTAGCAGAATGTCTTTATCGAATTCGCCTCGCTCACTTCTCTCGCTCGGCTCATACTCTTAGACTAGTTCGATAAATAATAACTTTGCTGATTTGTTGCATAAATAACTATTTTCTACGCCCATGTCAATAAACTTTAAAAATCGCACTGTCAACATTTCTTGTAAATGACATTTAACAATAACATACACGTGCGTTTTGATAAGAAAACTTAAATTTCTTAGTTTAATCAAATTAAAATCAAATTTTTATCTACGTTCCACTTTATTTGGTCTAATTAACATACATTTAGTCAACTGAATAACATAAAAAACTTTTAGTATTAGCGAGATACATTTTGGATTAAAAAAATGATGCCCCTAAATGTTGGCAACACATTATACAATTTTTCAAAAAATAAGTCGCGTTTTCTTAGCATGCTATGGCAATAAATGTCTTGTCATTTATATTATCAATTTTTGTAACAAAATATTATTGTATTCGAACATTTTCTCAACTGTACCTACGAATATGTCTGTTAGTAGGAAAGTGATGAAATTATGAATACTCCACCGGAGATTTTAGAGAAAGCTCAAGCTGCCAAACATAATTTGTTACCGTTACAATCCAAAGAAAGGTACGAAATTACCTATCGAAAATGTATGGATTTACGACACAAGTATATTTCCTTTATTTAATAGAAGAAAATAAGTGGGCGTAGAAAAAGTATAGTACGTTACACGCGGCTTCGTGCGTAAACTTTTTCACTTCGTGCGTAATGGGTTACTTACAACTCTTGTTAGGTAATATACTATTTTACACGAATTTGTCAAAAAACATCGTTTTTCGGCCATACAAATAAACGAAAAGTACAAATGAGTATTTTATTTATGATAGATAATATGACAATTTAAAAATTCAATTTTAACTAGATATCCACTTATATTAAAGCAATTGATCCTGTTGATTTACTAAATTTAAACATATAACGAAACTAATAATAATTCACTTCGATAATGCTACATGGCTGAAAAACCAATAAGATGATTAATAATGGTCGTTTCGGTATAATTACAAGAAATATTTCTCCAAAAATGTTGACAATAATTACCCAATTAATTGGGCAATGTTTAGGTTCTGTAATGGAGCACTTAAATGCTTTTATGTTGATAAATACTCATTAGTTTTTATGGTAAACCTAGTTACTATAATGAATGTATTAAAGAAATATAGATTATACCGAAACAAATATGGAGAGATTATTTACTAACTCAAATTTGGGCAATATTAGAATAACGAATACAAATTAAACATTAATGTACTTAATTATTTATTATAATGAAAAAATAAAGACAACCATTACGGCACTCATCAGTTACGACTTAAGACTGAAACATTTTACTAGTATAAAGATTAACAAAATGGATGAAAATTGGCAGATTATAAGTTCTTTTGATCTAGCTATAATACTAGCCCCGTCCCGCTACAATTGGCAATAAGACTATTAATTTAATTTAAAAATATTTGAAGAGCAAAATGGCACTGCATGTTATTCTTCAAAAAAACGTTAAAGTGGTTTAATAATAATAATAATATTCTACTCTTAGGCCGACCACTCACATGCAGTTAAGACTGTACGTTAATGGCTATTTTAGTCACAGTCCAACTCCAAGTTTTCAACTGTACAGTTTAACTGAGAGAAATGAAATTATTCATATTTTTAACTGAAATGACAGACTGAACTGAGTGTGTGTGGCGGTTTGAACTGTCATTTTCATACTGCTCAGTTTAGTTTCTGCCGATTGCCTGTTTAGAAAATACAATGTCTCGTAAAAAACCAAACCAAGTTATGGTTGACTTTATCGAGTTATATCGATCGGAACCTTGCTTATGGCAAGTTAAATCTGCCGATTACCACGATCGCGCAAAGAAGGATGCTGCATACAATACATTGGCAAAAAGTTGGGGGAATTAGAACCTGGTGCCTAAAAAAAATTTATTAGCAAAAATAAACAACTTGAGGTCAGCTTTTCGCAAAGAGCAAAAGAAAGTTGGGGCATCAAAGAAGTCTGGAACATCTGCAGACAGTATTTACAAGCCGGGGCTTCGGTACTATGACCTTTTTGATTTCCTGCATGATCAGGACACCCCAAGAGCGACAACTTCAAATCTGGACAGTAAAAGTGAGGAGGTAAGAAAAAAACGATATAATGTATAGTATATATTTATTTGTTTTTTAAAATGTGGTTATCTTGCTATAGGATTTGGCCATCATTCATGAAGTAGTTCATGAAACTATTTCTGATTTCTTTTGCCCCATTACAAATATTTCCTGCACGACAAATATTTCCTGCAACCGACAGAAATAATAGACCCATCATTCCTATTTTCTTGATACATACAGTTTGCAGGGGCGTATTTACTAGACTGATGTTCAATTAAAAAGTTATGAAAAGTACAAACAGCCATTACTACCTTCTCCACATTTCGTGGTTCTTAATTAATTGAGGACTGAAAGATACGAAACCGTGAGGCAAGTATCCCAAACGCGTTTTCGACAGTGTGCCTTGCTCGGGATAATCGATAGTTAAAAACCTCTTTCTCCGCTGAATCTGTTAGTCCTTGCCTAAATGGCTTCAAAATATCTGTTCTGAGAGGAAACGCATCGTCCGCAACGAAGACATACGGAACATTCTTGAAATTATCGGTAACATCGCCAGGCTGAGCAATATTTAAACTCTCGTTCACCTGCCTTTCAAAAAAAGATGTGTTCTGAAGAACACCGCCATCGGAAATTCGTCCATTTGTTCCAAAATCCACCAATATGAATCGGTATTTTGCTAGAAGAACCATACTGTGTTTGCCTTTGTAATTATAATAACAAGACCTACAGTTAGCAGGTGGAATTATATCAATGTGTTTGCCATCCATTGCACCAATGCAGTGTGGGAAATGCCATCTTTCCTCAAAGTTGCAATCTCCTTCCATGTTTCTTCTGACTTTGGAAACTGAAACAAGCAGGAAACGAAAAATTTAATGTTAAAATGTTCGTTTTTATGTTTTTAATATTTCAACAATATCTTATTATTTTTTAGGAATCGGCTGACAATCCACTTCCAGTTGAAAAAGATGTAAACGATGATGTTGATGTTGAAGGCTTTACATCAGCAACTGAGAATGTACCAGCAAAACAACAAAGAACGCCAATTTCAAGGCCTGGTTTGAATAAAAAAAGAAAGATTAATGATGATATGTCAACAGAAGTACTTACTACAGTGCGCGACCACTTCAAAGCACCAAGGGAACAACCTGACCGTTATGATTTGATAGGAAAAATAGTTGCTGTGAGATTGAGAAGTCTAGGTAAACGCCAGGCTCTCATTGCGAAAAAAAAAATAAATGACGTGCTATTTGAGGCTGAAATGGGTTATGTAATTACATCGCCAATGGATCATTATAATATATCAGCAAGACAAAATCCTTATACCACACAGACGACACCGTCAACGTTTATAGGTGCTTCAATCAGCGAAACTCAAAATAACGAACAACGGAACTGGACAATCCCTCTACTCTCACAATAACTTAGCAATCTCATGTATTAACAATTCTACTCCAAGTACCGTCAATGTCAAGAAAGACACCTAGCTCATTAGCAGAAATTCATTATTCTGACAACTCAACACCTTCTTATTTTAATAATCCAATAGTTTTAATAGTAAGTCCCACACTGTCAGAAAATTATTATTCACAGAATAGCTCAGCATCCTCTTATTTTTCTCATTTTAGTGATGTATGAAGGAATTAGGCAACAAAAATGTAACTTAAAGTCGATTCTTTGATTCAATTCGTTTTCTTTGTAAAAATAAAAGCAGTTTTCTAGTAAAACATGTATTAATTTCCCTTATTAATTATAAATTGAAAATATGTACATATCTGCATATACCTCCTCCAAACTTTGTATATGGCTTCACATGTTTCTGGGATAATTTGTCCGAGTGCTTGTGGAGAGATTCTTGTAGAAAATTTGAGAAACTCATACGAACGTCCTGTTGCTAAAAATCGCAACGTAGCAGACAATCTTTCGTGTGGAGATATTGCTTTTCTCATGACTGTATCTTGATTCATAATCAGAGGAGAAACCAACGAAAGTAATTTTTCGTAAACTGATTGAGTCATGCACAATTATTTCAAAAAATGTAAGGCTCTTCCCTTAACTCCTTTAATAAACTTATGTAGTAAGATACATTACGTTTTTGTAGCCACTTCTTGCATCACAGTTTACGCGTTTTCCTTTTTCTCTTGTGTAATCACATTGCAAAAAGCAAACCGAGCGCGGCCATATCGTCGTCCTCGTTCGAATCCATGGAAAAAACTGATGGAATGAACAATTGAACTGCACGTCTGTGTACATCTCAGTTCACAGTTAAAACTGACAGTTTCAACTGTGCAGTTAAAACTGACAGTTTTAACTAAACGTGAGTGGCCGGCCTTAGAATGGATTAAAATAAAAAAGTAGTTGCATGCAGCACCTGCAAGATTAGTGCAAGAATTAAAAGCCAATATTCGAAGAAAAGGGACTTGATTTACTGCACAAGATTCTCAAAAACTTGTAAATGTCCCAAAGAATTATTACCATTATCAATGCTAAATATTTTTGATATATAATTATTTTTATTATTATTGGTTTGTTATTTCAAATATACAGATTGTAAACTATTTTAAATTGTTTACAAAATGTTTGAAGAAAATTATAAAAGCTTTTATCAGGTTTTTGTATGATTTCTTCTTGTAAAGTGTTAGTGAATAAGAATTTGAGAAGTGTACTAATTAAAGCAGGACGGGGCTAGTATATCGGGTGTCTACTAGAAAATTTCGTCTAGTGAGGCCAATGTGATATGAAGGACAGCTCACTTTCCCCACAAATAAGTAAATTATAAATGACCAAGACTATCAAACGATGTGCCTTTTTGTGGCACGCCTGTATAATGACCAAAATTGTATAAAAAAAGAAATCAAAATCTCATCCACGTAAGTCAGAATCGATATTTCGCCATTTGCCCTCGATCCCTTTTAACATCGACTAATACCCTCCATCAGTTGCCAATAGATCCTTAAGAGCTTTCATCGCTTCCTGGTCTAGCGGCATGTTCCTGATACTCTTTTCCTTGATTGCCTTAAGTGCTTGTACGTGCATATCTGTTTTAATCAACAATAATGATTACTACGGTTCTTGAAAATGGCTTGTATATTAGTTATAATACGCGAACGAGATCCATTGTTTCATTCATGATAATTTATGCATTCTTTCGTTTTTTCGACTCGCGTCTCTCATGTGCCATTATTCGTTACAATTTCTCGTTAATAATACCAAAATTGATTTATCCTTAAATTACTACTCGTAAATCTTCTTGCATAGTAAAATATGGTTTTCAATAAGTCCTTGGATTAGAGATCTAATAGCATAGAAAAATTTATATTTTAGTGACTTTTATGAACACCTTAATTCCTACAAGTGGAATAAAATGGAGGTTTATGAATAGCAGTAGGTTCCCATAGAGCCGAAATTACATGTAAAAGGTCTTTACAAAAACATACCACATATTCCTTAGACCAAAATAAGTCGATTTAAGTAAAATTACCTTAGTACAAAGTTGCTTCGTTTGGGCTCCAGAGGGCCTTGAAGTTACAATTTTTAAATCGTTTTTCCCATATAAATTTAAAACGGCATATGCGATTTTGCTGAAATTTGGTATATTGGTGGAGTTTTATGTGGCAAAAAAAATGGTATTAAAATTTTGTCCGATAACAATACATAGGCGTAGAACTTGAAATAATTGCACCTTTAAAAATTCTACGCCAATGGAAGAAAAGGAGTTTGAGTATGAAATTTAGATTGCGCAACTCATTTACATTAAAAAAGGTACTCTTGACAAGACTCGATTACTCTCATGGTTTTGACGAAATTTGCATTTTAGTAATTTTAAAACATAAACAATAATTATTAAAATACAAACTTTGTCAAAACCATGAGAGTAAATCGAGTTCATCAAGGGTACTTTTTTGTAGTAAATGAGTACCCAATCCAAATTTCATACTCAAACTCGTTTTTTGCCATTGGCGTAGAATTTTTAAAGGTGCAATTATTTAAAAAATCAAGTTCTACGCCTATGTATTATTATCAGACAAAATTGTATACGATGAAAAACATAAAAATGTACTTTTTTCATATCTTCTTCAACACCTCTAATCGAGACTTTTAACAAAAATACTCGATTCTTGCCATGTACGATTTTTTGAGGAATATTAATTATTTGCCTGCAATACGTATACAATAACATTTATTGTTGGTTTCCATAGTTTCATCTAAATAAAAATGTTGTCAAGTTTTAACACCTAATCTCTTGTTAACGATTAAAAGTGTTCTATCTGACTCAATAATTAAAAAAACAAATGCGTGGTTTATTAATATGGCTGTACAATATACCAATGCAGAATATACCGATATGTTACTGACATTAGGATTTTGTGAAGGAAATGCTCGAGAGAGTGTCAGGGTGTACTCTGAAAGGTTTCCAAATCGTCGTGTACCTAGCCACCCAACTTTTGCTGCTGTTGAGAGACGTCTCCTTGAGACCGGTTCCTTTGCTACCAACACTGTTGATAATGGAAGAGAACGTTTTGTAAGGATTCCTGAAGTTTAAGAAGACATTTTAGAACGTGTTGAAGAAGATCCAGAATTAAGCACCAGACGAATTGGAAGGGAACTAGGAGTAAGTAAAGATGTCGTTCATAAAGTGCTTAGAGAACAATTGCTATATCCATACCATAAGAAGCCAGTACAAGAATTATTAGTCCATGATCCTCAAATTCGTTTGGGTTTTTGTCGATTTGTTAATATGCAACGAGAAAGAAATCCAAACTTTGTCAAGAAGGTTCTTTTTACCGATGAAGCAGGTTTTACATAAGAGGTATTACTAATACCTATTGAACATGTTTATGCCGTTGAAAATCCGCATGCAATAAAGGTAAACCATTTTCAGCACGAATTCAAAATTAATGTGTGGGCTGGAAGAATTGGTAATTTCATTGTTGGTCCTGTCATACTTCCACGAAGATTAACTTGAGAAAATTATTTGGATTTTCTACAAAATACGTTGCCAGAATTGTTAGAAGATTTACCTCTCCAACTTCGGAGGGATATGTGGTTTATGCAAGATGGAGTTCCACCACATTTTTTTTAAACGTTAGAAACCACTTGAATGAACAATATCCGCACAAATGGATAGACAGAGGTAATGACGCACCTGTAAACTGGCCACCACGTTCCCCAGACCTAACACCGATGGATTACTTTTTATGATGACATCTGAAATCCACAGTTTACAGGGAACCTGTAGAAAATGAGGAACAACTCTGGCAACGTATTCAAGATGCAATAAACAATCTTAGATTTAATTTTCTTCCACGAATAAATCTTTGTATGCGTGAAAATGGTGAACATTTTGAACAATTTTTGTAAAATCTCTATTTTGATTATGTTGTAAATAAATATTTTTGTGAAACCTATACACTCTAAATTATTAAAACAGAAATTTAGCGAAAACCATGAGAGTAATCGAGTCTTATCAGGAGTGCCTTTTTTAAAGTAAATGAGTTGCGCAATCTAAATTTCATACTCAAACTCCTTTTCTTCCATTGGCGAGAAATTTTTAAAGGTGCAATTATTTAAAAAATCAAGTTCTACGCCTATGTATTATTATCGGACAAAGTTTTAATACTATTTCTTTGCCACATAAAACTCTACCAATATACCAAATTTCAGCAAAATCGCATATGCCGTTTTAAATTTATATGGGAAAAACGATTTAAAAATTGTAATTTCAAGGCCCTCTGGAGCCCAAACGAAACAACTTTGTACTAAGGTAATTTTACTTAAATCGACTTATTTTGGTCTAAGGAATATGTGGTATGTTTTTGTAAAGACCTTTTACAGACACCCTGTATATACAAATTGGTTTTCGTATAACAAAATGCACAGAAATATTTAAATATATACAGTATACTAAAAAAAGTTTTAAGGAAATGAAAATAAAGTTCTTTAAAGTTCGTAATGCACGTCTGCTTACTAGTTCCCTTTAGCTCATTTATTGTAATTATTCTGACAATTGAAAAAAATAGCAATAGAGTATAGGTGATTCTCGTGTAACTGTGATTTTTACAACTTACATTTTTCTAAAGTTAAAAATGTTTTAAAACGTATGTTTTACGCGTTTTTGTTTTCTATTTATGCACAGAATAAAGTTGTTCTACTACAGCTACGACACAACGAAAACTGTGACAAAATTTAAAATTTTTAATGCCACGGTACTGACATTATTTCCACGGTACTGACATATAAATGATTATTTTTTTTTACCAATCGCAAGATTGGTATAAAATTGCAATAAAATTCAATGCAATATGCATTGGATTGTAGTTATAAGAGGTAAATTTTATATTAGAACATGAATTTTGATAGAAATTTATATATTTAATTTCAAAAATGAGAATCGGACATGCCACGGTACTGACATTTCGAGTATATTTATATGCAGCTTAAAAAAAAATTACGAAGGTTTATGATTTAATTCATAATGTCTGTTGTAAAATACCTCTAAATTTATAATATTAATAACTTTTTGATGAAGAAAACTTATGCTAAACGATAAATAAAACACTGGACATAAAAAATCACAGTTATCCGAGAATCACCCATTTAGTCTTCATTGTTTTTAATTGTGTTGTATAATGTAGTTTCGGGATTCACGTTGGGCGCCAAAATCTTGTAACTTCAACTTCCTTCTTTTTTTTTCTATTTCAAGCAAATACTAAAAATAATCTCAGTAAT